ATTGTGTGAGCCCAGAGCTGTGAAACTCTGGATTTAGGTTTGTGTGTAGTAAGAGTTTTATGATAAACTAACTTTGACATCATCATATGAGTCACACTGGGGCACGATGCTGAAACAGTCAGTGTATGCTAATAGCAAACAGGAAATTTCTGGGAGACTGTGTTCTGCTTCTGTTCATTCGTGATCCCAAAGCTTTTGTGGGTGACAAGACTTAGGAATGTTGCAAAGGTTTGATTTGAAAAGGCTTTTTTTTTTTTTCTTTCTTTCTTTTTCTTTTTTTTTTTTAATTTGAACATCAGCTGTGTTTTTTGTGACTTTTTATGGTGGTAACAACAGCTAACGCTGTTCACATTATATTGCCACCTATATGGAAGGTTGTGCAACACTTTCCATTATAAGAGTGTTTCAGTTGCTTATTATGTTGCCAACATTCAGCTGTTTGGGCTGAAATTTTCCATGCTGGGTGTCTCCTTCAGGCTGAATTTCTTGGGAAAGTTTCAATAAAAATACTTGAACCATTCCAGGGAGAGAGGAGGGGGAAATATTGTATTTTGTTCATGTTTATTAAAGTTGCTGCAAGCACTTGGTTCAGAAATCGATGCACCTACGTGTTTTGCAGCAGGGAGTTGAATTATTAGGAAGGTGAAAGGGCAAGGAAAGAAAAAATGGGGGAAGAAGCGATTTCTTTCCAGGAGTGGGCTCCTCCGTGATGTTATGAACCGTCTACAAGAACAAACCTGAACACCATGCTTTTCAAAACAGGGTCAGTGAATGGCTGGGAACTGAATGATTCTCCTTGTTTCACTGCACCTATGTGGTATATTGGATTTGGAGAAAGAGGTTTATGAGGTGTAAACAGAATCCTATGCAGCAGGGAAGATGAGTAAAATCTGCGTTGTGGTGGAACTGGAGGGGTGGGGTTATGTAGTTCAGAGCTGAAAACAGCAGAGGTAGATTTGCTCAGCAAGGAGGTGGATCTGAAGGTGCTAAGAGTCACTATTAAGCAAGGAGGTGGGATTTAATCACAGTGGTCTTACAGCAGCCTTTGTTGTTTGCAGTTCATATTCTGTTTCCCACATATCTTGTGGATTTAAATGAGGCAGGGAAAATTGTGTGCAGTCGTGTAATTTAGACACCAGTATTCCATGTTAATTCCAGCATGTTTCCTTTCTGAGCACTTGATGTTGCAACCGTAATGTACTTTCAACATGAAAATTAAAGCCTGTATTGGAAATGTCACTCTATACCCATCATTAAAACGCTTGTATTGTAAGCTTTGAAGAACACCACCATACTTAGGCACAAGCCTAATATTGCATTTCAGTTAAAATAACAAAAAAATGTTTTATTTTAATCCATTTAGACAAGTTTCTTTTTCAAAACCCTAGCACTGCCAGTGCTCTAGCAAACATGTATGGGACTATTTGGCTCTGAAAAGGTTAAGTCCATATTTCCATATTTGAGATATCAGGAACTGAACTTCGCAACAGACTCTGCCTTCCATCTCTCTCAGGTTCACACTGTAGACAACAAATGACATTTTGGAATATAGCCAACATGCTTAGCCCAAATGGGAGCGAGTTCACAGGGCAGGGAGAAGTTTCAGCTATAACTTCAAATTTTCCTGATTTTTATGGACTTCAACCAGACTGGTTATACCTCAATATTATTTTAACATTATTATTTGTGGCTGAGTTTGTTAAATAGCAGCATTCATGCTGCTGCTTTTAATATCTCACAGTTGAGGTTATCTTCCAAGTTTTCAAGGATTTATAATGTTGCCATAACATTTTCTTAAGGAATAAGGCTTCCCATCCAGAAGCAAGCATACATCATGGTACAAATTCCAAAAACAGTGAATTAGACATTTCCTAGTTAGAGAAAGGCAAATGTATACTGAATGCCCGTTTTACTGAGATCCTTTTACTTCTTTTTTTCTTGAATGAAATTTAGGCTTTGTTTGGTAACTGCTTTGTCAGTAATATCTGCATCCTTGTTTAGAGAAATTTAAAACTGAACTGTTACTGTGGATATCTGCTTTTTAAACATTAACTTCATAAAAATGTCATCTCTGGGTTTGACATGATGTATTGGCTCTGTTCAGCAAAGATAAGCTGTCATGTCATATACCTGTTGATTAATGTCTGCAGATTGTGTGCTGATGTTACGTATCATGGCAAAAGATCCCCTTTTTAATGGCTTTGTGGTATAGATAGACAGGATATATCTTTATTGCTCTAATGGAACTTAAAATTTTATGCCATAGTGTTTTGAGGCTGTGTTAAAATATGCAAATCTCTTAAAAAAGAGATGGGTTTTTTTGTATCTAGGCCAAATTTTTCTTTCATATTTGGCACAAATGTCTAAAATCCCCCTTTCAGGGTTGGTTTTTTTTCCTTTCTCCTTTCCCATTCCCTGGGCACCCCTTACTGTTCTACAGGAGCTATTTTTTCTCAGACCTCTTCTAAGTGCAGTCAGGTTTGGACTCAAAGTCAGCTTCCATCCGAACTGCCCATGTGTTGTAAGCAGTCACAAAGTGTTGGGTTTCTGTGGAGCCTAAATGAATATAGTGGTTCATATTAATTTAACCTGTTGGTGAGAGAAGAACTGGACAGTCCTGCAGCACCATGTTACAGGTGCTGTGGCAGGTATTTGACCTGATGGTCATGTTCAGTGCAGTTGTTGTGGTATGTGGTCTGCAGAATCAGTTTGTACAGCCTGCCTGTGGCCTGATCTTTCATACAATGTCAGGATATAAACTGTGAACCAGATGACTGGTGTGGCAGTATTCCCTCTGCATCCCTCTCCTCAGGATCTGCTGCTCTTCCTCAGGAGCTAAAGGTGGATCTTCCAGTCCTCTGCTGGATTCTGGACATACAGGAGGGCTGCTTCCACGTCTTCTCACATAAGAAACATCAAGTCATATTGGTCACACAGCAAATAAAAGTTGTTGCATGACAAGAAATTTGGTAGAGGGATGGGTTAGCCTTGGCTAGCAGCTAAGTAGGCACTTGCTTGCTCACCCCCACAGCCCCAGCAAGATCGGGGGGAAATAGGAGAAGCAGGAACAGGAAAATTCATGAGCTGAAGTAAAGGTAATCACTTAGCAAGTACTATCTCAGGTAAAACAGACTCAACCTGGGGAATTTAACTTAATTCTTTGCCAATAGCATAAATATTTAGTTACTGATTGAAGTATTGGTTATTGAGAAACAAAAGAAAAACCCTAAAACACTTGGGGGAGGGGGGGAAAGCCACCTTCCCTCCCCCTTCCCCCATTACACTTTTCCTAGGCTCACTTCACTCCAGACATCTCTCCTCCCCTGCTACTGCTGCTGACCACACTCAGTCCCTTTGGTGAGGGAACAAGTGGTGCAGAGGTTGGGGTCAGGTTGTGGCAGTTTCTCTCTGCTGCTCCTTGTTTGTCACTGCTACCAAACTTTTGCCACATACTCCCGATAAAAAAAAACTCAGTATCTTCATTATTTCCTCCACAGATCTGTTTTCTGTGGCTGCTTCTATCTCCGCGTCTGTCTCATTCTCTTTTCCAGGCTCCTCTGAAGAGAGTGTGACTATTGAAAGAAAGCCAGATCACCCTCACTTAGTCCAGTACAAATAATTGCTGGCAATTTTTGTCATTCTGTTTCCTTACTGGTTTTCAAATGTGAGTTTCTAGGTGACAGCTAGCTCCAAGGCGAGTGCAACGTACTGGCTGCATGACGTCCTCACATCTCTGAATGCATCCTTCATGATTTGCCAAGGTTGCAAGAGCTGATCATGTAAAGATTGTGTCTTGGCTAAAACCTGGTTTACTCTAACCTGGTCAGATGACTGCCTGGGTGTAACTCAACTTTTCATTCTGTATCATGTGCTAGCAAATACTGGTTTATTTGCTGACAGATGTAATTTGTACTTTAACATGAAAGACAGAGGGCTGTATGGACAAGGTGGTCTACTTTAGCCTGTCTTCTTAGGAATCTTTCAAAATGGCTCCTTATGCAATGGAGGGGGAAGACAAAGGATTAAAATACCTCTTGAATACTACATGCATGAAGTCTGAGTAGCAGAGATCCTGTTGTGGGAGAACCCCAGTCCTTTCAAGTGAAGGTTAATACAGGTGCCAGCAATAATGCTTTGAATATCAGCATAATGCAGTATCAGGTGTTCTGGTGTGACTGTAGGTGCTCAAAAGTGGTCTTTTTCACTTCAATTATTCCTTTTTTTTGGAAGGAATTGGCATGAAAAAGAGGCTATTTTTATGCCAGGTGAGAGATCCCATGCAAAAAGTAGCAATACTGGTATTACTGCATTACTGGTGCACACCTTGAGTCATGCTGGTAAAATTAAAATTCCCTCTCAGCATCCCACAGAGATGAAGTCTGAGTTGTATTAGGTCTTCAGCAACATGTAGCCTAAGCTCTACAGAGAGACCTCCTTTGGTTTTCTAGAGTTGCAAACTCTAGTTTGAGGAGTTACAGTTTAATTGGACGCCTTTTATGTGAGGCAACATTGTCTAAAACTTTTAGAAAACTTATGTGATTATCCTAAATTGGAAATTATGTATCTACACGGTGTAATTGATAGTATCCCTTTGACCTTCAGGTTCAATGCTTGCCCCTGACATTTTTCTCTTTACAGCTACTCAGCTACTTTTTCACAGAAAGATTGAATGTAGTTATTGTAAAGGATTGAGTATAGTTATTATAATATTGTCTGCAATGCTGATCTCTGGTTGGAGTTTAAAAAAAACTGTGTGTTTGCACATGGTACAAATGTCTGATGTAAGTTCTATTGAAATCTGAAGTAAAAGGCCCAGACCTTGAACACTGAAAAAGAGCTGTTGATGGAGAAGTTTGTATTCTTGAAATCCGTGTGTTGCAGGGGAACTTGTGGCTGAGTCTGAAGCTCTGTTTGGTCACTGAGATGAAAAATACTTCACCTAAAGTTTGCTTGTAGACAGTGTTTCAAGGCTCTCATCCTCACGATTGTCCTTATTCTAGATTTATGACCGATGCAGCTCGACGTGAACAGGAGTCTTTGAAGAAAAAGATTCAGCCGAAGCTCTCTTTGACTTTGTCAAGCACAGTGTCCCGTGGGAATGTATCTACTCCACCTCGCCACAGCAGTGGAAGCCTTACTCCTCCAGTCACCCCTCCAATTACTCCCTCCTCTTCATTTCGCAGTAGTACTCCTACAGGTAAGCACCTACCATTTGATTTATCCCAAATAAGCTAGCAATTTTGCTACATGATTATTTGGAGAAAAATAGACATACTGAGGCACTGGGAAGAAGAACCTCTAAAAATAAAGCAGAAGAGCTTTGGGCTCTTTTAGTTGCATTTGATTTGCAATCTCTAAAATGTGTTTCCAAACTCCTTGATAAAGCAGAGAAAGACACTAACTTTACTGAAATTATTACACAAAAAACCTAAATGACCAGGAATACCAAATGTTTCAGAAGACTTCTGATATATCAGTAGGAGACCTATGCATGTGGTACAGTGCTTGTTTAAGATGCAAGGTTTTTGCACTATTTGGAGAAACTGAAAATTGCTTGCTGTGCTGAACCAGCTCTCTTGGCCCAAGTCAGTCTGGTTTACATTAGGTAGAGATCTTGTCAGGTAATTCTCATACACTTCAGATTAAATACCAGTTATTTCCTTCTAAAAAGCTATGCATGTAATACATCTATTCTTTAATAAATAGGCTCAACATATTCTTCTTCATAGGAAATCACACAAGCATCCCTGCCTTGATAAAGGGTCATGCTATGCGTTTTAGAGAAGCGATTTAATGTTTTAGTATCAATGATTAAATGGAAAAGTTGTAGCGC